CAGTTTTTCAGAGCAAACCCTGTAATAAATTATTTGGCATGTTCATTTATCTTCAGAGCCCTCCAGTCCCTATCAGTCACCAATTCCTAATGCTCCCACAGGACGCTGCACTTCCTTTCACAGCAGTTGTCACATGGGATTACCATTGTTTGGGGGACAGCCACCGTCCAGTCTGTACATCATAAGACACCTCAAAACTCATCATCTCCTCATCTGGGCCCTTTGCCACAGTTTCCAATCCTACCAAAGAAAAACAGAAATCTAGGATCCGGACAATGCTGACTACTTCTTCGCATTCATAACCAAACATCTCCAAGCCATGTTGATGTCCTCTCTTTAACAGACCTTGAATTCCTGCACTTTCTTCATTTACCTAGTCCTAGCTGTCTTCTACTTTGGCTCTAACTTTTTCTTTACACTGCAGCCAGAATCACTTTTCAAAATGAAAATTTGATCATGTCAAGGTGTTTCTAAACATTCCAGTGACTTTTTTTGGAATCAAGACCAAAAAAAAAGACTATTAATCACAGCTCAATCCTCACTTCCTTGATTCCTCACATTAATCCAAATTATCCTATATAAGTCCTCCCAAAACCGTGAACCTTTTCCTTCTGCCATTTACCAGGACCATAATTTAACATTTATCTGGTTTCTCTGATTAATATTTGTTCCCCTAAACTATAAGATTCATTAGGGCAGGAATTCCATCTGTGCAACGCCTAGCACCAGTGGCTGGCGCACTGCAACTGTTCAATCAATGCTGTTGAATGAATGGATGAATGGAAGGCTTCTCCTCACCACCCGGCTGAAAAAACACGCCAGGGCAAAGGCCCTATCTCTCCCTTTAGTCGAGCACTGCCCAGGGCCCATCAATAGGCCCATGCCTACAATTTTTGGCTAATAAATATACTGCAAGGAGAAACGAAGGGGAAAAGATGTCAGAGACCAGGAAGGCCTAACATGTAGGCCTGACTCTGGCAGCTTCCTCTTCTCTCTGCGACTGTAGACACCTGTCTCCCTCTTCAGAAGCGAAAACAATCGGGAGAAAAGGCCTCCCTGCCGTGGCCAGGCAAAGACGCGATAGCTCACCAGCAGCCGCCGGGCTTCCACCCCAGGCTTTTCCTCCTTTCTTCACGTCTTTAGAAAAACCCTCTTCAGCAGACACAAACACACAGACACACACAGAGACACACAGGCTTCGGACTCAAGGTCACTTACAGACGCAGCGGTTTCTGAGCCATCTGCGTTAACACCCTGAGTTGGGCCGACCACGCAAAACTGGAACTGCGAACCCACGCGCCTCCGGAAAACTCGGCGGCACTGCGATAATACGACAGCGCGCCCAACCAATGAAAGCTCAGTTACCTACGGAGAGCGCCGAGGGACAAAGGTCTGTCTCAGATGGTTTCGCCTCAAGAAGGAAACGAAAAAGGACCGTAGAAAAGGTAACAAAGAAAAACATTCCCACTGTAATTTTTAATTTGGCGGCAGTTGAAATTAGTGAGCTTCTAGAAAGCTGTCTGCACAGTGTTGGCCCCAACCTAACCATGTCACTCTTGTGGGCAAGACGGACTCCCTGCACACGTGCTTTTTGTAAGTTTTAAACCTATCAAAAAGTTGAAAGAACAATGGCCATCTCCTAGACTCATGTGTCAACAAGTTGCCAAATTTACTCCTCCCTCCCTCTTCTTTCCTTCAAGGTGCATAGTATTAATACTTTTATTTCCAGAGTCATTTGAAAGTAAATTGAAGACAGCAGAATACCTCAGCATGTATTTCTCAAGAAGGACAGTTCAGTTCAGTCGCTCAGTCGTGTCTGACTCTGCGACTTGGACTGCTGACTTTAATCCACAATAGCCTACCTACCTTTTTAGTTTTTTCATGACAGTGACTTTTTTTTTTTTTTTTTTGAGAATTCAGTCTTACTGGTTGGAGACAACAGTGTTTAGTGAAATGGAAACAAAGAAGAATTCCTGATAAGTGAGGTGCATGGAAGACTCATCAAAGGCAACCTAAGCAATTCAAAATTAACTAAAACTTAAATTTAAGAAAGAACAACAAAAACTCTGATTTTCCTCACAGCTTCTACAATTTTTTTTTGGAAATATCAAATTACCTGCCTCATAAACATTGATGTCTCTGTATTGCTGGCACACTAACATATTTTTTTACTACTTTTAGCACAAGACAGCATAGCCCAGGAGTGAAGATCAAGACTGAATCTTAAATAAGAGAAGTTTGTCAAGCATGGACAGGTAATCATTTCAGGAAGAGGAAACATGGTTGAGAAGTGAAAACTCAACCATGAAATTCTGTTATCCTTTTTTAATTTAGATATATGGAATTCTGTGTTACCTTTACAACTTTCCAGCAAATCTAAATCTGTTATAAAGTAGAAAGTTTATGAAAGAAAAAAAAAAAAAGACACCTCATCCATGGGAATTTAAGGTAGCTCATGACAGCTGAGTACAGGGTTAAGTCTCAGAGTAATAGGAAGTAAAATTTAAAAAAGGAATGAAATAGGGGCCTTGTATGCATGCTAAGAAATATGGATTTAGAAAACACATTCTTGCCAACTGCACATGAACTTTCTCCAAGCTAGATCATGTATTTGGCTACAAGTCTCAACAAATTCAAAAAGATAGAAACTTGGTATCAAGTATCTTTTCAAAATACAATGTCACAAAACTAGAATCCAGTAACAGGAGAAAAATTGGAAATTCACAAATGCATGAAAAACATACTCTTGAACAACAAAAGAACAAAAACAGAAATCAAAGGAAAATCAGATCAAACATGAACCTGGAAACACAACATACCAAAATTTATGGATGTTGCAAAATAAGTTCTAAGAGGGAAGTTTAGAGCTACAAATGCCTGTATCAAGAAAAAAGAGAGATCTCAAAAAGCCTAACATTACACCTCAAGGAACTAGAAAAACAAAAACAAACTAAGCCCAAGGTTAGCAGAAAGCAGGAAAAAACAGAGTAGAAATACATGAAATAGAGAGCTGAAGAACAATAGAAAAGATCAATGAAATTAAGTTGGTTTTGGAAAAGATAAACAAAATTGACAAACCTTTAGCTGGGCTAACCAAGACAAAAAGAGATAGGTCTCAAATAAATAAAGTTAATGAAAGAGGAAGTCTACTCAAATACAGAGACTGTATAAGCAATTATCTGCCAACAAATTGGACAACCTGAAGAAATGGATAAATTCCTAGAAACATATGATTTACCAAGATTGAGTCAGGAAGAAATGGAAAAATCTGAACAAATCAATAAAGAGTAAAGATTTTGAATCAGTAATCAAAATCTCCCAACAAAGAAAAGCCCAGAATCAGATGGTTTCACTGGTGAATTCTACTAAAAAAAAAGAAGTAATGACAATCTTTCTCAAACTCTTCCCAAAAATCTGAAGAGGGAACACTCCTAAACTCATGAGGTGAGCATTACCCTGATACCAAAACCAGATTAGGATACTACAAAAAAACTGCAGGCCAATATCCTTGATGAATATAGATATAAAGCTTCTTAACAAAATACTAGCAAACCAAATTCAATAGCACATTAAGACTCATATACATGATCAAGTGGGATTTATCCCTGGGATACAAAGATGGTTGTTGTGCTGTTGTTGTGAAAGTCACTCAGTTGTATTTGACTCTTTGTGACCCAGTCCATGGAATTCTCCAGGTCAGAATACTGGAGTGGGTAGCCTTTCCCTTCTCCAGGGGATCTTCCCAACCCAGGGATCAAACCCAGGTCTCCTGCATTGCATGCGGATTCTTTACCAGCTGAGCCACAAGGGAAGCCCAAGAATATTGGCGTGGGTAGCCTATCCCTTCTCCAGTGGATCTTCCTGACCCAGGAGTTGAACCAGGGTCTCCTGCATTGCAGGCGGATTCTTTACCAACTGAGCTATCAGGGAAGCCCACAAAGATGGCTCAACACACACAAATCAATAAATCTAATACATTAATAGAATGAAAGATTAAAACTATGGTATTTTCAGCTATACCTTAGGAGAACCCTGAATAGAATTGGGGATGTTGTTGCCTCTATATATTGATAACAATTTCAAAATGCTAGTTTGTGTCAGGGTGTGTATCTGGCCAAATGCTTCGAATCTTATATGAAAAACAGTTACAGAAAGTTTAATAAAGAACCAAAGGGAATTACATTTGACTACTTCCTCAGAAACACAAAAGTAATATGAAATACTTATTAAAATGTTGGTTTCTAGCTTTAAAAAAAAAAGTCTCACTTTTTCAAAGACATCATGAGAAGTCATGAAAGACTTCCAAGCAGGAGTAATGTGGCCAGTTTACATTTTAGAAAGATTGAACTGCCAGCAGCGTAGACTGCAGGTTAGAGGCATAGTTAAGATGAGAAGAGACCACAGCAATAGTTCAGAGAAGCAGAGGATCATGGTGGACTTCTAGAACTTAAATGGTGGGTGGGAAATTATAGAATTGAGTTAAGAACTCTTTTGAAAATGGAATTGGGGACCTCAGGCACCTTCATAACTGCTAATACCCAACTCTGGATATGATTGACTGTCTTCCAAACTAGACTGGTTAGTTAGTACCCTCTGATGTCTTTAGTCTGAAAGGAATACAGTCAGGTTCCTGGAAGCTCCCCTGACCCTGTAGACACAAGTAGGAAGATATTTTACAAAATGCTTTACTTACTGAGTAGCAGCCTGGGTGGCAGCCCCACCTCCCCACCTAACATACACACCCATACACATCCTGTTATATTTCCAAAAGAGAGCACATATGCCAAGATGTCATCCATCTCTAGCCATCTGACTCATAAAGAGGAGACAGGAGGGGCCCATCACATACACCAAGCTATCGCAACGACACTCCTTTCACTGTTTCTGTTCAGTCTAGAAGACTTGGCCTGAGACGGTTTTAACATTTTCTGTTATTTGCAATGTATGGGAAAGTAAATTACTGACATTCACAAGGTAATAAACTGACAAGAACAAGACTGTTTTCTTTTCCCTTTTTAATTTAGAATCTTGTTAGCAATACATTACATCCTTGATAGAAAAAAACAACCTTTTACACAGTAACTCAAAAACCAACCATTTAAGAAAATAATATAGTAATCAACTGCTACCAGGGTAAAGAGCTCCTCTCATTTGATTCTACTGGCAGGCCCAGGTTTATCTGAACTTTGAGAAACTCTCTGTCCTGAATGGATGATGAAGCATTCAAGTAAAAGGTAAGGAGTTGTTGAGTTTCTGAGGATTCTGCCTCAAAAGAAGTTCTTCCAGGGACAGCCACAGTTCTCCAGTTTACTCCAATGTTGCTATGTTTCTGGGACGACCAGCATAGTTGCCTTTTGAGGAGTTTTGACAATTCATCAACCTCAAGATTCAGGTCCTATAAAACATTCTTCCCACATTAAAAAAGACTTTGTCCCCACAGTAAAACAGTAGTTTTTCATCGCTTCTCCAGCTTCTTGTACTTGGCTTCTGCAGTGGGGAGAGGGAGAGGAAGAGTTATATCTTTTAAAATTGGCTCTTGCAAAAAAAAAAAGAGGGAGGGAGAAAGAAATAAAAAAGAATTCCCCTGTGGTCCAGTGATTAAGATTTCATCTCCCAATGCAGAGGGCGCAGGTTTGATCCCTGGTCGGGGAACTAAGATCACACATGCCCATGCAATGTGACCAAAAATTAAAATATAAAAAAACAAAATCAGCTCTTACAAAGATACTCTTTAGTTAGCATTTCCAGGCAAATTCAAAAATGTCTATTACATTAAAAAAATTTTTTAATATCTATTAACTTCAGTCCTTGTAGACATCCAAATTGTATCCAAATTACAGGTACACCATAAATGCTAACTATCATATTAGCTACGGACAGATATTTGGATATCTGTCCAAATATAATCAGTGTGCACAACTTAAGGTAAGGAGTCAAATATCCACACACATAACCAAGAATCTAACATGAGTTCCCTACATTCTAACCCTGTCAATAGCACCTGCTCAGACACTCTACCAGGGTTAAGCAAACCTATTAGCACTTGAGCCACCAGGAGCCTTAGAAAAGCATAGGAAGCACTTGCCCCTCCACACTCTGACCCAGGCACCCTCTGAGAGCCAGACTGAAATCTTGAGAGGGTAGCAGGCAGGAAGGCCAGGGGTCTCCAAATGGAGGAAATAGGGTGCAAGTGTCAGACATTTTTCTCTCTCTTAATATCTAGTAATGTTTTTTCCTTCTCTATACAAATTTAAAAGGAGGTTTCTCTTAAAATACTGTGTTGCCATAATGATACCTGGTTTCACCTGAAGTTAACTATTCTCAAACCTTGAGTTAACCAATGCATTTTTCTTATGGAAATGTTTGTCTTAAGCTATGTTAATGTACTATGCATTTACCCCATACTCTCTCTTCATATTTGTATGGTAATCTGCCCTTCTACAAGATTCAAGTCAATCGTTTTATGGCCTGGGATGAATTGTCTGGTGCCAAGATTATCCCCAAAATACATCTTATGGATGAGGGGCCTGGTGCCATTCTGAGTTTTAAGACATTCCTTTCTTTCATTAAAAGACTGCTAGTGACTATATAACATGCAGCTGAAGACTAGCAGGGGGTATTCTTTCTGCCCCCTTCTGATGCCTCTGTCAGAAGCTTTCTCTATCTCCTTTATACTTTCATAAAACTTTATTATACAAAAGCTCTGAGTGATCAAGCCTCGTCTCTGGCCTCAGACTGAATTCTTCTCCTCCGGAGGCCAAGAATCCTGGCATCTTTTCGTGGGTCAGCAACAACCTTTCAATCTTAAGTATGTTTCTCCTTTTATGTTCTTATCCCTATCCCTCATACACACTAGGAAAACAATTTTGAAAGATACAGGAATTTAAAAGACCATCAAGTAAACCCCTTAATGTTATAGATTCTTTAAAACCCTGTTTTAAAAAACTGTTTCTTTAAAACCCTGAATGCATCTGGCTTTCTAAAGTTCACAGTTACCATTTAGTAAATTTAATTGTGGACAACGTTAACCACCACCCATGTCAAATCTCAGTCTGCTACAAACCAATTGCTTGAAGTAGTCAACAACTGTCAATGATTAAAAAATAACATGTAAATTATATTTATGGTAAAAACAGCAGTGGTTTTTGTTTTTTTTTAAACAACTGTGTTATTTTTAATCATGGATATAAGAGCCAGAGTCAGGTAGCAAGGCATCAACACTAGTACCAGTTTCTTCCTTAAAGGAAAAGTAAGCCCTTAAGAAAGCCTTGATTGGACCGCCTACTCTATTTCTGAAATGTGTATCTACATTATTAAAGATGCTTCAGCCTGCTGAACCACAATTAAAAGCTTGAGCTTTGAAATCAATCAGACATAGTTTGGAATACAGCTCTTCTAGATACTAACTTTGTGTCCTGAAGCACTTTCACTGTGCAACTCTGCTGTCCTTAAGCCAGTTATAACTCCTTCAACCACAGCTTCATCTTCAATAGAATGGGGCTAAAAATCATATACTTGCCTCAGAGATTAAAGGATAAAAAAAATAATAGGCACAAAATATTAAGAACAGTGCCTGATATATTATTAAGCACTCAGGAAATGTTATTTTATTACTACTAGTCATAAAAAGTTACTCTCCAGAGGTTTTGTGAAGATTAAAATAGATCACTATAGGCATACCATAAATGTTAACTATCATTATATAAGGTCATACTGGCAGGAGGGTGCTCTTATCAAATCAAGACAAATAAAAATGGTTACCCAGTTTTTTTGAATATGCATCCAACTTGTAGGCTGCCTGTTCAAGAGCTGCTACTTGCTCCTCAATTACATTGATCTGATCCAGATAAGGCTGCAGTCCAGCATCTTTAAAAACAAACACAGACCACTGGTTTATACAGCATCAACAAGGAATGCAGAAAAAGGTGGAAAGTAAGCATGCCAGTGTCTCTTCAGCTCTGCCTGAGTAGGTGGAGTGACATGATTCTGATCACTGGCAGGGCACATGCCTTAGAAGACAGTAGCTAGCTGATCAGGCAAGACTGGTGACCTAAACAAAGTTAAGTCTCTTTCATCTACTAGTTTTCCTCTCTTTTAAATTCCTTGCTCCTCAAGCAATCTTTCCTTTACTGACTCAGTTTCTTGGGTACTCCCAGACCAAGAAGGAGGGCCCTATAGACAGGGAACACAAATATAAGTCAACAGGAAAATATATTCTACCAACTAAAGTAGCATTTTATGATTATATATGTTATAGTTTTCTGTTTATAAAGTAGTCCTTTACGGATTTCATTGTTAAGTTAATTCACTAGAATCTGGCCACCTTTCCTCTACCCCATTTTTCTGGAAATAAATGGATCAAATCAAGATTCAGAAGCAGAAATAACCATACCACCAAAGCACACTAATCCTCAGAATGGAAAAAATTCACTTTAACTTTGTAATTCACTTTTAGAAAATGAGCTACCTGAGGACAGAGACCATGCTCCCTTCCCTTCTCCACTGCCCCAAGCACAAAAGAACATTAAATACAAACAAATATGTTTAATTGTAAAATTATTACTTACACTTCTGGTTTAAGTCCTTTAAGTTTCTACTAATGTTTATAGCAATATCTTTCATTTCAAGATACTTCAGGCTGGTTAGTTTATTCATATTTTCCAGCAGCTTATAGTCTTCACTGGTGGCTTTAAAACAAACACAGAAGATGTGATACCTTTAAGATTTGTGTAGATCACTAGAATGTGGAATTAACTACCAAATGGCAGTTCAAGGCAGGATCTAGGGAATGTCAAAGAAGCAGGCCACTTCTGATCTATGACCTTTCTACTCAGCCTATGTGCTCTAGGGCTTCCCTGGAGGCTCAGCAGTAAAGAATCTGCCTGCAGTGCAGGAGCTGCAGGAGCCCTGGGTTTGGGAAGATCGCCGGAAGGAGGGCGTGACAATTTACTCCAGTATTCTTGCCTGGAGAATCCCATGGACAGAGAAGCCTGGAGGGCTACCGTCCATAGGATCACAAAGAGTAGGATACAAGTGAAGCAACTTATGCACACACATATGTATTCTAAATGTCTAAGCAGGAATTCAGGCAACAATTGGCAAACTAAACCAAGTAAAATCCAGAAGCTTCAGGATCGTAGTTAGAAAGGGAAAAGATAAACTCATGTACCAGAAAAAGGGAGGTGAAGCAGTCTTGGTCTCCCTACAATGTGACATCATATAATTGGGCAGACTGCACCATAAATACAGATACATACAGATGGCTAATAAACATGTGAAAAAGTGCTCAACATCGCTCATTATTAGAGAAATGCAAATCAAAACTACAATGAAGTTATCACTTCAACACTGGTCAAAATGGCCATCATCAAAAAAAATCTACAAATGGGGCTCCCTTGGTGGCTCAGTGGTAAAGAAATCCACCTGCCAATGCAAGAGAGAGGGGTTCAACTCCTGATCCAGGAAGATCCTACATGCTGCAGAGCAACTAAGCCCGTGAGCCCCAACTCTGAGCCTGTATGCTGCAAGTACTGAAGCCTAAGTGCCCTAGAGCCCATGCTCCACAACGAAGAGAAGCCACTACAATGAGAAGCCTGTGCACTGCAACAAGGGAGTGGTACCCACTCGCCACAACTAGAGAAAAGCCCAAGCGGCAATGAAGACTCAGCACAGCCAAAGGTAAATAAATAAATAACTTTTTAAAAACTACAAACAATAAATGCTGCAGAGGATGTGGAGAAAAGGGAACCCTCTTGCACTGTTGGTGGGAATGTAACTTGATACTGCCACTATGGAGAACAGTATTAAGATTCCTTAAAAAACAAAGAATAAAACTACCATATGACTCAGCAATCCCACTACTGGGCATATACCCTGAGAAAACCATAATTCCAAAAAGACACTTTGGCCACCTGATGCAAAGAGCTGACTTATCTGAAAAGACCCTGATGCTAGGAAAGACTGAGGGCAGGAGGAGAAGGGGACGACAGAGGATGAGATGGTTGGATGGCATCACTGACTCAATGGACATAGGTTTGGGTGGACTCTGGGAGTTAGTGATGGACAGGGAGGCCTGGCGTGCTGGGGTTCATGGGGTCACAAAGAGTCAGACACGACTGAGCGACTGAACTGAGCTGACCCTAATGTACATTACAACACTATTTACAACAACCAAGAAATGGAAGTAACTTATATGTCCATCGACAGATGAAGGGATAAAGAAGTTGTGGTACATATATATAATGGAATATTACTCAGCCATAAAAAGGAACGAACTTGAGTCAATTCTATTGAGTCAGATGAACCTACAGCCTGTTATGGGCTTCCCTGGTGGCTCAGACGGTAAAGCATCTGCCTACAATGCGGGAGACCCAGGTTCAATCCCTGGGTCGGGAAGATCCCCTGGAGAAGGAAATGGCACCCCATTCCAGTATGCTTGCCTGGAAAATCCCATGGACTGAGGAGCCTGGTAGGCTACAGCCCATGGGGTCGCAAAGAGTCAGACACGACTGAGTGACTTCACTTTCAGAGCCTGTTATAGAGAGTGAAGTTAAATCAGAAAGAGAAAAACAAATATTGTTTATTAACATGCATATGAAGTCTAGAAAAATCATACTGATGAACCTATTTGTAGGCCAGGAATAGAGACACAGAGAACAGACTTGTGGACACATGGGGGAAGGAGAGGGTGGGACAAATTGAGAGAGTAGCATTGAAACATATACATTACCATATGTACAACAGATAGCTAGTGGGAAGTTGCTGTAACACAGGGAACTTCAACCCAGTGCTCTGAGACAACCTGGGGGTGAGGGAAGAGGGGAAGGTTCAAGAGGGAGGGAACATATGTATACTTAGAGCTGATTCACACTCTTATATGGCAGAAGGTAACACAACATAGTAAAGCAATTACCATCAATTGAAAATAAGGGAAAAAAAAACAGCTTTGCAAATAAATGTAGATGAGATGGGGGAGAGATACATTTATATATATATATATCTCTCAAAATATATATAAAGTCAACTAGGACCTCAACGCTTCTTAGTAATTCATTTACTACTTGTAATTTTGTATTCCATTTTATGCACTGACTTTTCCAAACTATTTGCCTGCTTCTCACATTCTTGGTTCCCTTCCCCATTCCTACTCAAAGCAACTGGCCTTTACTCCAACTTTCCCAAAAGCCAAGCCCACTTAGATAAACTGCCTCAGTCTTTCTGCCTCAGTTCTAAACCGCTCTGTACCTTAATATATTCTCAAGAGGCAGAAGTGTTCCTATTCTTGCCAAGACAGCTCCTTCTCCTCCTGTGTGCCTGATCCCAATCCTTCTACCTCTTCAGAGCCTCTCTTCAACCATTTCCTTTCCCTTGCCTTTCCAAATTCTCTCTCTATCCTGGCACCTTCCTCTCTATCTATATTCCAGTTTACTCCAGCCCAGAAGCACTCCCTCTATTCTACACCTGCATCATTCACTCAGTAAAACAAAGGAGCTTCACTGTTAACCCTTTTGAAAGAGTAACTTATACTCATTGCTTCCTCCTCCTCACCACTCTCTGGTGTAAACCATTCCTGTCTGGTCTCTGTCCCCAACACCCAGAGAAATCACATGCTCCAAGGTTGTCAGTGCTCTCCTAATTACCAAATCCTTGGCCTTTTCTCAGTTATTATCCTCCTTTGCCTCTCCATAGTATCTGACATTACTGATCTCCCTCTCTCCATGAACTGCTCCTTTCCTTGGCTGCTATAGCATTTTCTAATCTAACTGCTCTTTTTGAGTGTCTATGCCAGATCTCTTCTCATCCAACCCCCTTAACTATCAGGTCTCAGCTCTGCCTCAGCTGTGACTCATGGCTGATGTTTATATAGGTGGCACATTCCTACGGCACTCCCAGAGTTTTTGAGTTTCAAACTCAAAAAAGTTATCTGTATAGATAAGAATGACAATCATAGGGAAATTACAATCCACTTTAAATTAATTTTATAATAAATAATTTGTAAATCTAGGTACTTTAAGTACTGTTAATAAAAACTGATTGCCCAATACAGGCATTCCCTGAGATTTTAGTTCAGGTCTTCTTATCTACCTCTAAGGTCTTCCTTGGCAATCTCTTCCTACACATCCTAAATTCACACTACTAGGCAAGTGACTCCCAAATCTGTTTCTCCTGCTCTGATCACTCTCTGAGCTCTGGACTCACATATTCAAGTCACCTGAATGTCTTGGTAACAGTCACCCAAGTATCCCAGTAATACCTAAAATCAGCAAAGCCCAAGCTGAAAATATTATTTTCACACTAAACATGGTTCCTCTTTCCAACTTGCCTATTTTGGCTGATGGCACCACTGGCTTAAAACCTCAGACATGTCTTTAGCTGCTCCCATCCCTCAATATCCACTTCAACAAGTCTTATAAATTCCACTTCTATAATGGTCCATGCTCCTCTCTCCACTCCTTTTACCATCACTGTCACAGACCATATCTTTTCATCTGAAATATTGTTATTCCATCTCTCCTCCATATCCACACTCTCACTGCTATCAAATTTGTCTCTTTCAAATGACAGTGACATACTCAAATACCCAGGAGCCAGCAATATTATGTAAATGAGTGAAGCAAGCCAGGTGTTTGCATATTAAACACAAAATTATTCACTTCTACAAAGAAATACACTCTCATTTCTTGGAACAGTATGATCTTCTTAGTCTTAGTCTATCATTTACTTTACCAATTTTGATAGACATTGGTACAGAAAACCATTTCTATACCACTACTAAAAAACAATATAAGCAGAGTAATAAATGGCAACTGACACCAGGTGTCCATAAAAGAGAGAAAACAGGGAGTAGGGGGGACAGACTGCACCATGCTGGTCCATTTAAAGGAGACAATGCCCAACTCTCATCAATTAGAGCCTTGCAAGAATGGGAGCATTGCCAAGTCTTTGGAATTTTTTTAAAAAGCCAAAAAAAAAAAAAAAATCATCTAGATTTTGTTGCTTGGTTTCTCTTGCTCAGAAATAAACAAATAGGCTGTTGGAGACTCACAACCCCTCCTATTCTACATCAAGCATTTTCTCATAGATTCTGGTTCACAAATTTAGCTCACAGCAACTTCCTGGGGAAGTGAAACAATATAACAGACCCTTATGAAAAGCTACACTTGACCCAGACTTCATTTTTTGGACCTTCCTTCACACATGGGTCATGCGTTCACTTGGAAATACACACTGGACCAAAAAATTAATGTCTCAAAGAGTGGGTCGTCAAATCCTCAGACCAACCTAATAGACCCCAAATTTTGCTGGTCACTCCCCATTTCCCTTTAATCTAATTTAAGTACATCTCTTTAGCCAAACAAACAGCTTGCTTATACCACCTCACTCACTAGTCATTTCTCACTTTTCGGCTGATCAATTCTTATATTCTCTACAACCCCTTTCAAAATACACTTCCCCCAAGGAAGCACTTCTTGATGAATTCTTTTTCGTTTTCTCAGGCTCAGTCTACACTATGGAGACCTCCAGGGTTATATTAAGTATTCTTACGTGTTTCTGCACCGAACTTTTTTTTTTGAAGTACAGTTGACTTACAATGCTGTGTTAATTACTGCTGTAAGCAAAGTGACTCAGATAAATACACACACACACACACACACATATTCTTTTTTCCTTACATTCTTTTCCATTCTTATGGTTTATCATTGGATATTAAATATAGTTCTCTGTGCTACATAGTAGGACCTTGCTGTTTATCCTGTGTTTCTGAAAGTAGTTCCTGAATTTCTCCAGGGAAGGGAGGGACTTCTTTCCTACACTTTCTTGACCTCCACAAACTTTCAACAGGCATATTTTTAAGTTTATGGGGTTAGGGAGGGAGTCGCAGACTGACGCCGCTAAAGCATCTCACCGGTTTGCCGGTGCCAAACCCCAAACCACTCCAGCGGGTGGTGCCCGGCACTACCCGCATCCATCCCGACCGCGCCTCACCCGTCAGTTCTCCAGTCAGGTAAGTTGCCATTTTGGAGAACATGTCCCGGCAGAGCTCATTTATGTCAGCCTCAGCAGGCTCCTTTGCTTCCTCAGCAGTCTCCACGGCGACATCATCTGAATCAAAGGAGAATGAGTAAGTGCCCCGCCCTGCCCCGGTGCTAATCCAGACACAGCAGCTTCTCCCCACACCCCTCCACCTGACCTCATTCCATCAAATCGGCTCCGTCCTCATGTGCTGTAATTCCGAGTCCCTCACTTCGTTCCTGCCTCACCTGCCTCTGCCTCATGCCTCCGCTCCCTTGCACCGGCCTCAGCCCACACTTGACCTCGCGGCCACTGCTTCTCAGTTGCCCTAACAGGACAAACACGCGCGCACACAGGCGCGCCCCTTCGATCTGCCCGCTCCCGCCAGGTGAGCCCCGGCATCTCGGGCCCGTACCCGGAGACTCAGGCCTCCCACTGGACACTTCATCCCTGTCCACTCCGCATACCTCGAATTGGCTCCTCGCGATGGGTCGCGGGGACACCCTCGGCCGCCGCCGCCGCCATGCCCTGCCCCCGCGCTGCTTCCGGTTGTGAGGTGCTGCGCATGCGCGCTGGGCGTACCCCGCCCTCCCTGCCCTGAGTTCAGTGCCCTGTCGTTCTGCGCTTGTGGGCTGTTATGTCTCAAGTAATGAATTATAACCAAGCGTAAGCACTAAGCCAAATTTAAAGCTAAAATATTCTTCGTGAGTCAATGCGCTGCCAAGGGTCCGACATCTGGAACCAAGGATGCACTCAGTCCCGCGGCCACTCCCTGGAAGTGTCGCTAGCCTAGTAAGACCCACGACCTCTGGGATGAGTCGAGCCCAGTGTAGCCTGCTGATTATAAAGTGGTAAAGAGACAAGTTAGCCCCTCCCCAGAGAATTCTCACTCTAGCCGGTATTAGTCTCTGAAAGACTGCTCAGGAAATCCATGCTTTTGAAGATAGTCTCATCCAGGCTCTCGGAAACCTTCAGGCAGTTATACCTGAGCCAAAACACCAATTCCCTGATAGCTCAGTTGGTAAAGAATCCGCCTGCAATGCAGGAGACCCGGTTCTCCTGGAAGTTCCCCCGGAGAAGGGATGGGCTATACCCACTCCAGTATTCTTGGGCTTCCCTTGTGGCTCAGCTGGTTAAGAATCCACCCGCAATGCGGGAGACCTGATTTTGATCCCTGGGGTGGGAAGATCCCCTGGAGAAGGGAAAGGCTACCCACTCCAGTGTTCAGGCCTGGAGAATTCCATGGACTATGGGGTCACAGAGGGTCGGACCGGACTGAGCGACTTTCACTTCACTTCACTTCTGATGTCCTAGATTAAGGTCAGCTCATTGGGCCTTTTTTTTTTTTTCAAACTGCAGACTGTTTGGCACCTGTTTTCTCTTCCGTTGCTATAACCTTTCTTGAAGAAAGCTTAGATCATTTTTTTTTTTTTTTTCTGGTCACACCACCTGGCATGTGGAATCTTAGTTCCCCCAACCTTGTAGGGGATGAAACCCGTGTGTCCACATTGGGAGTACAGAGTCTTAACCACCAGGGAAGTCCAGTTATAATTTTTCAGAACTAAGGATACAGTCTGGTGTTCTTAATTGCATTCAGCTGTTTCAAATACAAATAGAATGTATTTGATGGGATGGAAGAACAGGGATCGGTGAAGGGAATGGATGAAAAAAGAAACTGGGGAGCAGTGGAATGTGCAAAATGAGAGAGGAATAAAGATCACAGGGGAAGAGAGAGGGGATATATAGCAGGTGTCAAGATGCAGGCCTATACACCCGAAATCTTGATGTAGGAGTTTTTTTGTCTTAGGTCTGGTTATTCTCCATCTGCACTCTCACTGCCCACACCCAACAGTGCACGTGCGTGCACACTCAAACACACAAACACACACACACCCCTTACTCTCTTCACTCTAAGGACAAGAACACCCTAGATTACCACCTCCACTTCCTCCAATAGGACAATCATAGTGTCCACCATTTCAAACCATTCCTATGAGTCAGAAGTTTTTCCTTCAGGACTCCTGGGGCAGCCCAGCTTCTTCACACTGTCACTGCCCCAGCTCTACACTTCCCAGGAGGGATGAGCTTTCTCCAGCCCTAGTATTAATACAAGGATGGGTCACAGTTCCAGCCCCTCTTCTTTCTCCTGCCATCCCCAAAGCAAGTGCAAAGTCCTGGTTTTCCTAAAGATTTTTTTTATTGATAATCACCAGGCAAACCCGTAATGTTCTGTGGAAGGAGGGAATCAGAGTCCCCCACATTTTATCCAAAGATCCTAGAATCCTGAGGTCATTTCTTGGCCAGCTTCTCCTCAGGCTTCAGCTCTGTTCTGGTTTACACCCCTCTCCCTGTTCAGTGGCATGTCTGGAGGCAGGCTTGCCACTGAGCCTTCCTGGACTTTGCTGGGGAAGGTTGAGGGAGATCACCAATCCAACTCCTCTATAACACTGTACTCTCCCCACGCAAGAAAGTGTCCCCTCCTCTCTGGCTTCCTCTTCTCTTTCACAGGGAAACCCAATGGGGAAGAAGTGAACCCCATGGTTGCCGGCAGTTGTCCTCAAGACACACAGAGGAAAAGGTTCACTGGCAAGTAAGAAGACATCTAGATATTGCTATTCTTTCAGCTTCTACTTTTTTCACAAATCATGGCTATCCAGATGCTCAGGAACGTTATTACCCTTTTTTCCTTTATTGTTATTGACTTTAAAATTATCACAGCAGAGTTCAGAGCACACGGGGGTGAGAGGCCCAGCAGGAAATATTTCATAGAGCTACACAGCTACATACAGAAACGTTGGTTCAAAAGGCCAGGCACAGGGTGGGGCTTGGCAGCAGCAGTGGTAGCACCCACTGCCCTAGAAGTGGAGGGCGTGTGCTGGGGGAGCTTCTGGGGAGGCGGTGACAGAGGAACCTGCTGTCTGACGCTTTAGGACCCCTCCCCCACTACTCTCCTGCCTGCCCTAGAGTCCCCAGGGGGCTGGAGTCACAGCTGGGGCTGCCTGCAGGTGCTCCCAAATGCCTTGTTCCCCCTGTTGGAAGAAAAAAAGGACAGGTCACTTGGAGGAGGAGTTTGTGTCCCACTTTCCTTTTACCTGGATCTGTTTCTCCAACCCCAGACCCTCTCCTGGAGGCTAAGGCCACCCTCAGGCCAGAGCAACCAAGTTCAGTTCTTCCTTCCACACACCCGACCTCCACTGACAGACTGACTACTGGGAACATGTTGCCCCAGGAGCCTGAAATGCTGGTCTTTCAAAAATGTTTTGCCTCCATCCACTGAGTGGAAAAGATGGTAGAGATCAGCTGTGGGCAGCCAAGAAGAGCCAGGTGAAGGACCACTCACTGCGCCCGGAGGAGGAGCCAGCCACTCCCTCTCCACCACTGTCAGCTTCGAGCTCATGGCATCAACCTGGGTCATGACTCCTTCCAGGACAGTCTCCAGCTGCAAAACTCTTCTTGTGAGCCTGTGCAGGATTTGAGAGAGACCAAAGGAGCAGAAATGTGTGTCTGGAGAGCTGGGTGATTCTAGGGGAAGGGGGTACAGAACAGGGGGTGCCTGGATGGGAGCAAGCAACATAAGGCCCAGTGGTGCTGGGAGAATTAAAGAGGGACAGGGGCTTTCCCCGGGGTAGGATAGGGAGTTGGAAGGAAGCTCAAGGTAGGACGACATAAACACAGTCAGCCCTGGGCCCCCTGGCTGCACGTACGTGTAGAATTCTTCTCCCGAAACCCAGCCACCTGCTTTGGCATCCTGCTTTGGACTCGACTCGCCTGGTAGGCCCCTCTCAATGGACCAGCCCAGGTTCTCCAGCTCAGCATGGATGGCCACCTGAACAGGAAGTCAGAGGTCAGGCAGAAGATGACTTGGGAAGTCATCAGCTCCTGCTCCATCACTTGCTCTAATGGGCTTTCAGGATCAGGCCTTGGGCTATCATTATTGCTATTTCCTTCTCCCCTCAAACTCTAGAGACAACAGAATCAGAGTGGTGGTGCTGGACACAAAGCTGGCCTGACCTCTGGGAGAGAATCACCTCCCCAAGAAACAAAACACAAGCTCCTTGAACCACTGATGAATGAGGCACTCACTAGAAGCCAACTCTGTTGAGGAAGAGGAGAGACAGTGTCCTGGCACTGCTCCTTTAGCCCTTGGCTTTTTGGTCTATGCAGGCTAGGGATGAAGAGGCATAGGAGGGGCAGCTAAGAGTTTGAGAACTCCAAGGAGAAGGCAAGTGCTCTGAAGGAATTGTCAGAGATTCCTTGGCACTTGGTCCTTTTCTCCCTGAGGCTGTGTTTTAGAGCAATGATGATCAACCTTGGCTATGCACTGGAGTCACCTGGGGAGCTTTAAAACTGATGAGGCTTCCCTGGTGGTTCAGTGGTAAAGAATCCACCTGCCAATGCAGGAGACGTGGATCCAGTCCCTGATAGGGGAAGATCCCACTATGCCATGGACCAACTAAACCCATGCACCACAAGTCCTGAGCCTGTGCTCTAGAGCCCGGGAGCTGCAACTATTGAGCCCACATGCCACAGCTACTGAAGCTCACGTGTCCTGGAGCCCATGCTCTACAGTAAGAGAGGCCACTGCAGTGAGAAGCCTGCACACCACAACTAGAGAAAGCCCACAACAAAGATCCAGTACAGGCATGAATAAATAAATAAATTTAAAAAATCAGCCAGTGTCCAATTCTGGCAGAACCACACTGAAAACAAATGATGGCTGACCCCCACTGACTCCCCCAGAGATTCTGGTCTGGAGTGTGTGGCCTGAGCATGAGGATGTTTTAAAGCTCTCCAGGGGGTTCTACCGCACAGCAGTTTGAGAACCACTATTCTAGAGAGCTCTTTCCCACCCATCCAAGTTGGTTTGTGTTCTGGGTGTGCTGCAGGAAGAGGAGAATGAGCAGTATCCTTGTAGCCTCTCCACCAGCCATCTGGGCTCACCCTCTCCCCCTCCAGGTTCTGCCGCATCTCTTTCTGCTCCTTCTCATCTAGGACACCATTCCCATCTTGGTCAAACCTGGTGAAGGCAGCCGTGAGCTTGGTCTTCTCATGCTCTGTGTGCTCCAGCCTGAAGATAACAGGGGGATGAAATGACCTCTGACCTGCCATGGATGTGAGCTCTCCATTATGGACTCCTCACTCTTTTTTTTGCTAGACTCTGGCAAGAGTCTTGTGCTCTAGGGACAAAGGGGGCCACATGAGAAAGCCAGGATGTCAAGGTCTAGTGATTTGATACCCCTCACCCAAACCCTTGAATCTATTTCTTCCTTCCCTGACTCCTGCTGACTAGGTTCAGGCCCTCAGGATCTCCTAAAAGAATTACTGCAAAATCTCTTTGCCTCCAAATAACCCACCCTCTACCTGCTCCCTACCCCCTGCCCTATGGCCTTCCCTTCATTCCCTACCCCTGAAATCCATCCTTCATACTGCAACTAGAGTAATTAAGATTTCTAAAGTACAAGACTAGGGAATTCCCTGGCGGTCCAGTGGTAAGGACTCTGCACTTTCACTGCAAGGGCCCAGGTTTGATCCCTGGTCAGGGAACTAAAATCCCAAAAGCTGAATTGCATGCCCCTCCCCTACCCTCACCCCCACCCCCCAAAAGAGTACAAGACTAACTATAACCCTTCCCTGCTTAAAACCCCTCCTGGGCACCCTATTCTTTGGATAGAGAAATGGTGTTCCAGGTTTTTCCCAGTGTGGCCTTAGCCCATTTCTCTGCCTCATCTGCTTTGCCCAACCTTTCATTTAATGTCTTACAATGCTCAGTTACTTATTACTCCTGTTTATGTGGCTCAATTTCAGACCTCTTTGCCTTTGTATGTGCTTTTATATCTCCATGCTCCCTCTCTTTTAGTTATTTCTGTTGTGGAACAGAATCACTGTTCCGTGATTGCTGTTTATTTGCTTACATGTCTGTGAATTCCTGGAAGACAAAGATTATCTCATTTGATTGTATGCCTGGCCCACAGCTGGTACTCACAATATATCTGTTCAATGTTTATTCATATGTTTAACTGCGAAGCAGGGAGAGGACGGCTAAGGAAATGTTCCCGTGTTTGTGAGGGAGCATAGAATTAAGCTCAGAGTTTTGTGGGAGTGAGGGATGTATACAGTGATTAGGGAATCATGGTTTTACACTAGTGCTAAGGGTTGTTCAACAAAGTCCAGAATATCATAGAACACGATCAGACTCCTTTAAACCAAGGGCACAGTTCTGAAGGGCAGGATAAGAGACCTATAAGCCAAGGTCAAAGGCCTGTAAAACAAGGTCAGAGGCCCACAGGCCAAGATTGGAGGGTTATAGACAAAGGGTATGCTTGAGGGTCAAGGACTTATAGACCAATGTCAGAGAAGGTTGGATCTCCGCTTGCTCACTCCTTCAAGGTGTTGGTGAAGTCCTCGAACTGGATCTCCTGTTCCCCAGCCCGCAGGACCTTCTGCACATCTGAAACCTGCTCCTTCCTCAGACGCAGCCTCCGTAGGGTCTTGTTGTAGCCCTGGACAGGGACAGGAAACAGGCCTGGTTCCCGCCTGCAACCTCCTCCTCATCTCTTGTCCCCACCTGCACTCACAGGGTGACAGGATCCCAGGGATAAGCTGAAGGCACACAAGAGCACAGGCCCCTAACCCATCAGGCACAGACCAGGACACAGAGCCTTGACCTGGGCCCTGATGTACATATGCGGCTCAGGGAGACTGAGTAGTCACCTGTCTCAGGAGGTCTGAAAGCTGTAGCTCATCCTTTTGTCCAGCCAGCTCCTCCTTGACCTCTGAGTATGTGTCATTGATGATGGCCAGGAACATGTTCTGGAGGAGAAAGCAGGGACCAGAGTCCTCACTTCCAGATCTACTGACAGCATCAAGCCCATGGACCCTATGAATGGCCCAACATGTGTTCTAAAAAGGCCGATACTTCCAGCCCCATCTCTGCAGCCCACTAATCCTCCACATCTCAGGGTCCCCAGAGCCCAGCCTTTCAGCACAATTCTATTATGGGGCTGGAGGTAGGGGTCATGCCCCCTCATCAACCTGATGTCCTCCCTCACTGCTGCAGTAATCTGGCCACAAAGATACCCCAGCATATGCCACAGGCCCCCTTCATGGAAGGGTCTGCCTGTCACTGAAGCCAGAAACTTTCCAAGGTGAGAGTAAAATTTTGCTCTCTTTACCGTCTATCCCCAAATCCATATCTGTATCCCTGTCCACCGATCAAATAAAGAAACCTGCTGGCTTTTCTAACAAAAATCAAACACAGATCTTTCATGGTTGGCAGGGAGAGAGAGCAAATACAAAACAATGGTAGTAGAAAGAGCCAGAGAGCCCCAGGGGAAAGGGGGCGTTCTTAGAAAATAGGCAGAAAGGCTTTCAAGGGCGGGCCCTTCTCCCCATGAGGTAGACTTTCTTCTCTTTCCATCCTTGGAAGACAGGGGTTTGATTTTAGGGAGGAAGCCTGCAGATTCCTTTATACTCTGCAAACTGCCTAACTGTGCTGACCACACACTGGGCAACCTTCAGAAAATGCAGAGGTTCTCCTCACCCCCCACCTCTCCATCCTTTGAGAAACCCACCATAATTATTAGTGTAGAACATGGGTGGGGGGTGGGGAGCAAAGCCCCACCCTGCAGGCCATTCACATGTCCACTCCTCATGTTCCCAAATCCCCATCCCTCAGTGGGACCCTCACCAGGAGCACGAAGAAGACGAAGAAGACGTAGGTGACAAAGTAAACAGGTCCCAGGATGCGGTTGGCGTTGTCAATAGCATTGTAGTCAAAGTCCCCAAGGATGATCCGGAACTGAGTGAAGCTGAGATACCACGGCCTGGGCTTCACCCTGAGCCCAACCGTGACCTTGACACCATCTCACTTCCCTCCCTACTGCTCTTCAGTGAACTCAGAGCCCTGACCCAATCTGATGTGGACAGAACAGGGTCAGAGATGCTGAGCACACACACTAGGGCTTCTGGGGACTCATCCAGATGCTTCAAGCACAGAGCCACCCACATCCACATCCCCCCAAATTCCCCCAAATCCACACCCCTAGAGCCAGAGGGTGAGGGGCCAGGGAGGAGTGAAGGAGGAGGGACACGCACATGCACTTGACGAAAGTGCTAAAGTTTTCCACTTGGGTCCCGAAAAGCAGGTAACCCAGCTGGGCGTAGGCGAAAAACACAATGAAGAACATGACAGCAAAGCCCAGGATGTCCTTGGCACAGCGGGCCAGCGTGGAGGAGAGCTGGGTCATGGTCTTGTTGAAGCTGATGTACTTGAATATCTGAAAGGGCCATGTTGAAACAAGTAATTAGGGAAGAAAGATAAAAGCCTGAAACAGCCCACTCCGGGAGACTAGGGAGGCCACAGGAGTTGCCAAAACCAGACAAGGAAAATGAGACAAGTCCTAGGGAAGGGAGAATGAGGTGCTGCTGAGGGTGCGGAGCCCCAGGGTACCTTGATCCAGGCAAAGAAGAGGTTGACGGCGTTCATGTTGTTGTACTGTGTCTGCCAGAAGGCGAGGAACTCGAAGTCAGCATACATGTTTGGCTGCTGTAGAAGCTTCTCCATCAGCCGATTCACCTCGAGGGTTCGGAATATGTGGAAGCCCACAGCCATAATGGAGAGCTGTCACAACGGGGGTTGAGGAGTGTCAGAGAGTCAAGAGAATCTCAAGGCAAGTTCAACCATGAAGTCCCAGGGGAGACTTGGAGTGGATAAGACAGGTGGGGGGAAAAACACCTCTTTCCCTGCTGAATGGCTGACTATCTTAGGTTCAAATGGAACTGGATAGGATGATTGGGAAACATCTTAAAGTCCCAGTGAAGTCTGTGAGACCAGTGGTAAATATGTAGGTTGTAAAGGACCATGGAGAGATGGAGCCAAGCAATTTTATTTCCCCCACCTCTTTCCAGCCTTGCTCAGAAATGCATGTGTTCTGTTAATGGGAAAGAGACGAAGATGAAGAGGCAGAAAATTTTAATAGAAGAGAAAAGGCAGGAGTTTCAAGGGGACAGGTCATGAGGGGGAGAGACAGAAGAGGAATATAATGTCAGGTACAAAAAAGAAGCAGGGCCTGGATCACAGGCCAGAGGGAAACATGGAGATAGGATTCTTCTAGGGCCGAGCCTGGGGCACATCAGCCTCTGGCTTAGGGAACTGTTACACAGCGATTTGACCAGAAGTCTCAAGGACTTGGGACGCCAGAAGGAAGAACTGGGAGCCCTTCTCAGGGTCGACCTCCCTGCACCACCGCAGGTGTCCCAAGTCTAAGACATCTGTCCCTCACCAAGATGACCACCAGGTCCAGAATGTTCCAGATGCTGCTGAGATAACGAAGCCCGTGGATACGGAGCTCTAGGATCTCTTCCACTATGTAGTAGAAGATGAAGATGCAGAAGGTGATCTCACAGCCAATGATAAAGAAGTCCCAGTTGCTGATATAGCGGATCAGCTTAACCGTGCGGATTTGCCAGGATGGGATGGCACCTCCTGTAGCTGGAAACTCCACCACCAGCCTGTGGGAGGAGGGGGGTGTCTGGTGGGGCCTGCCCTGGGACAGTTCCTCCCGTCCCCTCCCCTCCCCCACCATAGGGAACACATTTAAGGAAGGGTCTCCAGCAGAGGCGAAGTGAACCAGGAACCACGGGTGACAGAGGGAAGGCAGGGGGATGACAGAGGGAAGGGGACCCACCTCAGAACACAGAAAAGATTGATGTTAGCATTGTAGACTGAGAAGTCGATGAAGACCACCCGAGTGCCCCTGTCCAGCCACAGGCCCTCCTGAAGGTCCCTGAGTGCCTCTGCACAGGCCTGTCGAGATCCTGGAAAGTCCAGGTAGTAGCCACCTCCACTGTAGCTTGTGAGCTGGCCCCAGTGAGAGGAGCCCCCCAGCTCATCCTGTGAGTGGTAGGTCCATCTGTCACAAAATAAGTCATTTGAGTGGAGAAGTCTGAGCCAGTACCAGAAGCTGGTCTCCCAAGGCAATGGCAGCATTTTATAACTGTCTGGGCTTTATAGTTTCATATATATTACTATACATATCACAGATACATTTTACATGTATTATCTTGTTTAACATAACTATTTGAGAAGGAAGGAAAAATATTATCCACATTTTACAGAGGATGAAACTAAGACTCAGATGTCTGAGATAATCCAGCTAGTTAGTGGCTGAAGTGAAATTCAAATGTAAATCTCCTGATATTTTACAATATCACCCAAGTCTACAGATAACAAACCCAAGTCCACTTTTGACTCCAGTCTGAGTAGTCCCCATGAGGAAAGCCCAGAAAAGCCCCTTTCTTCTCTTGTGGTTGTGCACCTGGCTACTTAGCCCCATGATTCTCTGTTCTGTCCACAGACTTTCCTCCCTGGACCCTTATTTCCTTCCCCTTCTTTCCTGTCCTATCCACTCTTTTCCCCTTTCTTCCCTAATTCCTCATCCATCCTTGGCCCCGTGCTGCCTTCCCCTAATAGCTCCAAGGGTCAGACTTTTCCAGCCATGACTTGTGCGGAGCATCAATGTTTTATCCATTCTCCATACCCAGGAGGGATTTCTGGGCAAGAAAGGATGCTTCCTCTGGCAGGACTGCCTCCAGAGTAGGGCAGCTGTGACAGGGACCTGTGTGTGAAGACAACTCTGGAGGCTATGGCTCTGTCTGCTAACATACCTTCTCTGTTCCTCAATGACCCAGAGCAGGGTCTCCAAACAGTCACATATGGGACTCAGAGAGATGCCTCTCACCTCCCCACCAAGTACCCCCAAGGCTCTTTAAGTCTGAACGGAAATGGTTCCCAAACCTGGGATGGCATCAGGTTCAGAGGGGCAAGCCCTGTGACACTGGTTGGCGGACTCACTCACGCTGTGCCATTGAGGGGCCCAAAGGGGAGTCGCTCTTCCTTGTCTGGGGAGTAGACATCGTAGCAGCTCAGAATGTCCTCGCGGAAGTCCTCATGCACCACGCAGGAGTCATTGCGGACCCGCAGCTGCCGCAGCCTCGGAACCCCCAGCAGCAGGTTCTCATAGTAGATGAAGGAGTGGGGGCCGCGGCCAAGGCTCTGGTTGTTGTACCATTTGGTCCAATACAAGCTGTCCAGCAGTGGGCCCTGGGCAAACTAGATCACGAACTGGGTTGAACCTGACCCAGACTCTCCTGACTCTTACCCTTAGAATTCCCTTTTCCCATACTCACTGACCCCCTCCAGCTTGTCTCCAGTCTGCTTCTGTTGGGCTCTTCAGCTTCCCCGTGAACTCTGGCCAAATCTTAGCCTGATGGCCTTACTCTTGACTTAAAATACATTTTGAAGTTCTGCTTTACCTCTGACTCTCAATACTAGTTTAAGCACTGACTTGACTCTCTGATGATCACCCCGATCTCTAACCTCTCATTACCTGAACTCTGTCTAGTCTGACCCATTCATTCATGCCTGACCCCGTGACTCAGCCTGATCCTGGAATGCCCTGGTCTCTGGATATGGCCTTATCTACCATTTCACAGCCCTGAAACCTGGCCCGTGGCCTCAGGCTTTAGGCCACTGTGAAGAAGAAGGCAGGGGTAGAGGAGATCTCATGCTCACCTCCCAGAAGTCCTCCATGCTGCTGATGGCCTGGAAGGAGATTCCCGTGTCCGATGGGGAATGTAAGAAGAGCTCAGACATCACTTTGGTGTAGTAATAGGCGCTGGAGCTGGTCATTCCGTAGGTCACTAGAAACCAACCCAAGAGGCTGTGTCCTGAACACTGTTTCCTTCTCCATTATCCGGAAGAGAGAGGATAGCCACTGCCTGAGGTCAAAGATGCTACCTGGATGGGATCTACCCCCAAGAGTTAGCTAAAGGGCTGACAGTGGCATTGGGGAAACCAGGGAATTAGGGGAAAGTTGTAGTTATAGCTCTCCTCCTCTCTTCCCAACTCACCTCAGAAAGACTAAACTCCACTGTAACTGTCTCTTGACATTGTCATTCTAAATAGTCACTTTTCTCTTTCTCAGCCGGCTTAACTTCCTAGCTCTTACTCCCCAGAGCCAAAAAATTTCTACCTTCTGCATCAGGTATGCTTCCCTTTATTTGTCCTATAGTAATGCCCTTGGAAAAATGCCTCCAAACTCGAGTATGCCAAGTTCAGTACAGTTCAGTTCATTTCAGTCGCTCAGTCGTGCCCGACTCTTTGCAACCCCATGAATCGCAGCACACCAGGCCTCCCTGTCTATCACGAACTCCCGGAGTTCACTCAAACTCACGCCCATCAAGTCAGTGATGCCATCCGGCCATCTCATCCTCTGTCGTCCCCTTCTCCTCCTGCCCCCAATCCCTCCCAGCATCAGGGTCTTTTCCAACAAGTCAACTCTTCGAGTCTGCCAAAACCATGCCCAAAGGCCTTGCCATGGAGATGGGCGTCCTGGACCTTGGAGTCAGTGACTCTGCAGCTATGGGAATAGGAGGTAGGCATGGCACCTTTGGCCCTGGTGCAACCTGCTGGGCATAGCTGTTCTGAGAGAGGGGCTCAGAGCATTCCAAGATCAAAATAAAACCTGGCCTTTGTTCTGAAGAACCAGATCCCCCTTGACCACCTTGACACACACATCTAGACCAAAGTAGGGCTGTCAAGGGAACTTACAAGTTTTCTGGTTAAAGGGCAGAATTTGAAGATTATAAGCTATTTACTTTATAGATTGCCCCTCAAATGAGATTTGTCTGCTGTTTCCTTGTGTTTAAATTCAGGTTTTTCATTTTTGGTGAGGAATAACAGAGTGAGACTGTCCTTTTCAGTGCTTAATATCAGGAGGCACATATTGTCTAACTGCATATTACTGGTGATACTAGCTTTGATCCCTTGTTAAAATGGTATCTTCCAGCTTTCTCCAATATACAAGCATTATTTTTCTCTTTGCAATGAACACATATTTTGTGGGAAAATACTTTGAAACTATGCAAATATCCTTTATTCATCAATTTTTCACCATTGATGACTTTTGCCTCATTATTATTATTCTGGTTGTCAAGCTGTGATTTGCTCATTCTATCATTCCTTCTGTGTTTATTAGTTGGCATTCTCTTCAGGAAGAGCTTTCCTTACTTCCTCACTAATTTATTATTTATGTTTATCAGTATGAAACTCTTTAATATTTCTATAATTCTGTAAAATTTCTATAATGTGTCAATTTTTTTAGACAGGTCATGAAAAACAAAGAAATTGTCCTAAAATACTAAAGAACTCTTTTAAAGATTAAGAGAGACTAAAAAATCATGAAAATGAAATGCAATATGAACATCTAGTTAGGATTATATTCTGGGCCATAATTTTTCCTTTTTCTATAAAGGCTATTAGTAGAATAACTGGTGAGACTGTAATAAGGTGTATTCATTAGATAATAGTACTGGATCATTGATAGTTTCCTGACTTTGATCATTTTCTTATTTTTAGGAATAACAGGGCATTATGTCTGCAATTTACTCTCAAATAGTTGTGTGTGTGTGTAGAAGGGGGACGAAGAGAGAGGGATAAAGGAAAAGCAACCACAGTAAAATATTCACATTTGAGACATTTGGGTGAAATACATATAAGAACTCTTTCTATTATTCTTGTAACTTTTCTGTACATCTGTAATTAAAGTTTTTAAAAATTTTGTCAGCCTCTTGTGAGCAACTCCCTTTAAGAATTTTCATTTTCAAATCTTGGAACCTATTTTCTTCCAGTGCCCCATCTGAAAAGGGAATGCCCTGGGATGGAACTGAAGTTCACTCACAATTTGGGAGGAAAGAGAGGCCAATGAGTGGTCTCAGATTAGGCACAAGCAACATTCATTTCCAGGGAGAAATCAGCAAAAAGAAAGCATTATTATTTCACATTTCCCCATTCCACTCTATTAGTTCCAAGAGATGACTTGATTTCTCTCTAAATAAAATCTGTGATTACCCTTCCTTAGTATCTGGAGGACTCAGACTCAACTCATCAGAATCTGGAAAACGGGTTGGAAATCAAACTCTTTTGTCTGCTGAGAGCCTACCACAGTTAGAACTGATGGTCAGTGAGCTGAACTTTTCCTAAATACTGCTGCTGTGCTGTGGTGAGTCATATCCAACTCTGCGACCCCCCTGGACTGTAGCCCACCAGGCTCCTTTGTCCATGGAATTTTCCTGGCAAGAATACTGGAGTGGGTTGCCATTTCCTTCTCCAAGGGCTCTTCTGATCCGGGGATCAAACTCGCATCTCTGGCATCTCCTGCATTGGCAGTCAGATTCCTTTACCACTGCGCCACCTGACATTGCTGATTAAATTGTTATACCTCTAGAAGGCCACTAAGTGGTATTCACAGCTATATCTTTTTCTCTTCTCCAGTTCTAAATTACCCCTCAGAATTAGTATTGCTCTGAACTGGTTCTCAACCCTTTATGCAGGAGGCATAACATCTCTGATTATTATCCAAGACAGTAAAGACTATGTATTCTGAGAAAAATGGTTTCACGTAGTCAAATGCCCACTGATACTCAGAACACCTATTATATGCTCTATGTTAAATGCTTGACATGACTATTTCATTTAATCCTACAACAACCCAATGTATTAGGTGCTACTATTTCCCCTATTTTCTACTCTCAGAGGGCTGGAGTCACTTGCCCAGGGTAAATAACATAAGGGAGCCAGGAATCAAGGATGGCACTATATCCAAGAAGTAGAAGTTATAGAAGGGAAAACTTAAGTTCCATTAATGGCAGAACTTCCAAACCATGCATGCTTCCTATTAAGAAATAGGCCACTTTACAAACATGCATTTCACCCCTGGCAGTGTCAGCAAAGGACCACATGCTGAGGATCACATTGAGGGGGTTTCTGCAATGGGCAGCGGCTGGCCTTTCCAGTTCCTTCCTTTAAGATTCAGTGAAGGAGTGGAATGGCTTCATATGTTTCAAAAGATAACACTAGGGGCGGGGCTGGGGGCACGGGGCCCCGCTGCAGACCCCGCGGCAGGCGGGGGCCGCCTCGCTGCCGAGCGGCCCTGCGGGGAGAGGGGCAGCGGCGGCGAGAGCCCCCGTCTGTCCTGGTAACTTACAAGATTAAAATTAAATTTGGTTGACGATTCTGAAAAAATACAATGTTTTATTTGAGGTATGCCATTTTGAAGACTGAGACCATGGAATTTTATCCTTGAGGATAAATCTTTGTGATAGTCTGTATTTTGTACAGCAAGAATATGAATCCTGAAGCTGAATTACCTAAGGGGCCTCTCCAGCGAAGTGAAATAGATGTTGGTGGAAGCATTTACACCCAGTCAGCTTGAAGAGTCTCAAATGGATCCTACCACTGAGAAATCAAGATGGCAGTCTACTATGGGGAATTGAGAAATATGGATTAATACAAGAGTGCTGTGATAATATGCACCCAAGACAGGGTTCTTTTAACATGAATTTCATGAAATGAATGAAGATATAGGTTTCTTAATAGCATAAATGGACAGTGAATTTGACTTTCTAGAGACTTTTTGTATCATTAAGAATATTTTTGACATTTGTAGAAAAAGATGGCACATTAACAGATGATAGTTTGTATGCCTGGAATTTTTTGCGGTTTGATTTGTATGAGTATGACCTTGTGGAATGTTAACTTTAATAAAATTTCTAACACTTAAAAAAAAAGATAACACTAGGGCAGAGAAAGACAAGCAATGGGGAGGAATGTGAATTTATGTCAGTATGTAAAATGTCAGTGCTAAACCACCTTTCTGGTGTAGTGAGGGCCTCATTCCAGGAAATTTTCAGATACTGGACAATGACTGCATGAGAATGCTATGAAAAGGATTCAGAGACCAGGTGGCCATCCAGTACAGAGAACCTGATTTTTTTTTTTTCTCTTAGATACTAAGTTCTCCTACACACTATATCGTATCTGTTAACTTTGGCGTCAGATCAAATTTCCAGTTGCTGAATAATAACAATAAATGCCATTACTGACTCATTATTCACCAGGCTTTGCATATATTTTCTCCCATAATCCTGAAGAAAAACCTCATTCAGTAGGAACTATCTATATTTTATGCAGACAACAGAAATCCAAAATGTTATTAAATAACTTGTCCAAAGATCAGACAGCAAGCAAGTAGAATTTGGATTCAAACTCAAGTCTGACTTACTCCAAGGACCATGAATTTAGCCATTGCTCTGCATTATACTAATATATCACTCTACGACTCAACATCTTTCTGATAACGGACCCTGGCTCTCCTTCCAAAAGCCAACACAAATGATTAGGATGGTGCAGGTTTATAAGGTGTCCTTATAAGAAAACTATTTGAAGAGTTTGACGTTTGACTCAGGAGGCAAATTATAAAAGCAATTGGTAAACTCAAGATAGCAACACCTTAAAAGAAACTTCAAATTTCTTCATTCTGGTATAAATGGAAAATGTATATAAATCTGTATCAAGAATCACATTCTGACATAGATGAGTCCCAAAGAAGGGGAAAAAAATCACATAAAATTGTTAACCTGGGTTATTCACAATATCAAAAAATTACAAACAACCTAAATATCCTACAGAGAGGCAATAGTTAAGTAAATTATATCACTGAGACACTTAATGAAGTATGATACAGCCACTGAAATGCTAATAAAAGCAGAATGAAAAATTGTTTCCCTGCTATCACTACATTTAAATATTTTTTAAATGTTAAGCATGTAAAAATTTAAAGGAAAAATGAACTTTTAATGAA